TGCCCGTCTGTCCTTGCATCCCCATCCGCTGATCCCTGCTGGTCCCCAGTCCTCTCTGCCCCTCTGTGTCCTCCTTGGTCACTTCTGCAATGCTGCACTTCGTGTGCTGGTCCAGAGGGTCTGGGCCTCTCTCTCTCTCCTCCTCCTCCTCCTCCTTGCCCCTCCTCCTCCCTCCTCTCCCTTCCTGCTTCCTCCGGGATCTCAGAAGCCCCTCGCCTGTCCCTGCCTGGGAGCCATTTGGGAAGGGTACACTGCTGCCGCCAGGGTCTAAAGGGTGCCCATCCCTCATGTCGCCCCTTCCCTAACCTGACCTGCTCATGGCTTCATGGTCACAGCTTGGTTGAGGCAGCTTGATGCCCACCACCAACCTCTGGGCCAGCACGGCTTTCAAAGCCCATTCTGATCACAGGTACAAAGCTCCCACGTGCGTGTGCTGGAACTAAAGTGCGCCTCAAGTCTCCTGTGGTCAGAGGTGTGGCTTTGAGAGGTGACTAGATCACCTGTGGATTAGCCCACCAGTGAGCGCCCAGCTGAGCGTGCTTTAGGAGGCGGACCCTGGGTGGGAGGGGGGCCCAGGGCAAGGTCTTTGGGGGTGCATCTTGCACCCTGACTCCTCCCTCCAGTTCCAGCCTACCCATGGGGCGTGGGAACACAGGCCCCCGAGCTTGTTTCCCAGTGCCCACCATGGAGGGAAGATAGAAATTCAAGCTGGGCATGGTGGCTATTCTTATAATCTCAGCACTCAGGAGGCTGAGGCAGGGAGATCACCAGGAATTCGAGGTCAGCCTGGGCTACATAATGAGATCCTGTCTCAAAACATCAAAAGAAAAGAAAAGAAATCAGGTGAGATTATTTATTTCGTGGTACTGAGGATTGAACCCAAGGCCTTTGCACTGAGTTACATCCCTAGCCCTTTTTCTTTTTCTTTTCTATTTTGAGACAGGCTAAATTCCAAGTTGGGCTGAAACTTACAATCTTCCTGCCTCAGCCTCCCAGTGTGAAGCACCATACTTGGCTTCCGGTTGTTGCTTTTCCTTCACTTTTTTTTTTTTTTTTTGGTCTTTTTGAGATATGGTCTCACTGTGTACTTCAGGCTGGGCTTGAGCTCATTTCGTAGCCAGGCTGGCCTCAAACTCGCAATGATCCTCATGGCTCAGGCTCCTGAGTGCTGGGATTACAGGCATGCACCATCACTCCTGGCTCCTTCACTTTTTTTTTTTTTTTTTTTGGTTTTTTTCCAGTACCGGGAATGGAAGTCACAACCTTGCGCTTGCCAGGCAGGCGCTGTGCCTCTGAGCTAAATCCCCAGCCCCTCCTTCACTTTTTTAATCTTTAGCTGTAGATCAAATCCACACGAGCTTGTGGTCCCCAGCTCCCTGGAGAAAGAGTAACATCTAGCTCCCTGGTAAGGCCTGAGCCGCGGGATGTCTACTCCGTCTACACCGAGGGTGCTGGGTAGAAACGCTCAAGGTCTCAAACTACACAGGAAATGAACAGGGAAGGAGTAACAGGTCCGAGCGGGCCAGCACTGCCCATCTTCCTTGGAGGAAAGGAAGCGGATTCCTTGAAAGACCTGGTTAATACCCTAAGGAAACCCGAGTCCTCATTCAGCTCAGCTGCCAGTTTGGCGCTGCCCCTTGTGTGCCCCAAGGTGACTTTTTGTCTTGTTCTCTTTGCAAATCGACCATGGCAATGAACTCTACCTGTATTCCTGTTCTTGCATGGACATTTACTGCTGACTGCCGGGGCGTGGTGACGCAAGCCTGTAGTCTCAGCACGTGGGAGGGAGGCTGAGGCGGGAGGGTTCATGGAGTTTAGGGACAGCCTGAACCACATAGCAAAAAAAAGTTGCCAGACATTTTGTCTTTCTCTGTCTCTGCCCAAACCTAACACCCCAGCCACACCCAGAGGAGAAAGTCATCCTCTCATCCAGCCAGGCCCCCCCGCTAGGAGATCCTCCGGCCTCCCGGCCTCCGCTGGGGTGCATGGAGCCCAGGCTCCGGTCCAGCCCTGCTGCTCCTGGCTTAGCCGGGGTCCCAGCGGTGTGCCGAAGGGGCGAGTGTGTTGGCCCAAACTCCTTCCCTCTCTCCGGGCTGCTGGTGCTTCCCTCAGCTGGGTGACTCCATGCCCCCTTGAGGACGGAGCCCAGAACGAGGTGCACCCCTGTGAGACCCCAAAACAAAGCCAGACATGGGGCTGCAGCGGGCTGAGGCAAAGCCCAGCCCGGAATGTGGCTTCTGGCTGCCTCTGCCCCGTGGCTGCCTGACCTGGGTGGACTCTACTCTCAGCCTGGGAAGGGCAGAGGCTTGCCCCCCTCAGGGCTGCCCCACGGCCCCACCCTGAGGCTGCGCTGCGGCCTCCTGGCTCAGCGATCTGCTGCCAGCCCAGCCCCAGGCAGGGGACCTCCCTTTCCCCGGCAGGGACACAGCTGCTGACCCAGTGGCCCGCTGGGTGTGCGGTGCTGGCCGCCTGGCGTGCGTCAGGGCCAGGAGCTCCTTCTTTGGGTCTCCCTTGGGCTTGGTCAGTTCCCAGAAGGAAGGAGATTCCTATTTGAATTTTCCCCCGGGAATTTCCAGTTAAAGGCTTTAAACAGAAACTGCTGTGATGAGGAGGGACTCCCGAGGAGTCCTTTCCAGTGATATGAGGAAGCTCAGTTAGCACGGCTCGGGAGGGCTGGTGAATCGTGAACCCGGAGCAGTGCACATGCCTGGTGTCCCAGCGTTGGGGGACGGGAGGAGCTCATGGAGTTCGAGGCCGGCCTGGGTGACACAGCAAGACCTTGTCTCAAAAAACAATGAGAACAGCTCCATATCTCGTTTTTCTTCGCTATTAAAGGGCCACTTTGTTTGGAAAGCAACGGGAGGGCTGGAATGCCTGCAGGGAGTGGGTCTCAGTGACTTTGCCCACCCGGCAAGGAGGACTCGGGAACAGCCTCTCCGTCACGCGGTCCTCCCGAGGTGGGGGCCTGTCCCCCAGACACAGCGGCCCGATTTCTCTCCTTCCGTTTTCCCCTTTGGTGAGGAAGGAGAGCTTGAGAGTTGAGGATGCCCGAGGTTGGGGAGAGGAGGCCCCAAAGCGCACCACAAGGAGGCTGGGTGTGAGCGTGCGGGGTCCCCACCTCCACATCGCCTGCCTTCAGCAACACTCGGAGCGCATTCTCAGGCCCCGCGGGAGTCATAGCTAGTTCTCTCTCTCAGCAGCGGGCGAACACTTACGATGCATAATCACCCAGACGTTACACATGAAAATGTTTCCTGAAAGAAATTCGGTGCTTAGAGAAGGAATGCTAACCAAGTGCAAACCAGTGACAGGGAAGTGACGCAGCTGGTGGGCAGCAAGGGGTCTCCCTTGGCCTTGAGCGTAGGTAGCCCCGGAATAGCAGGGCCTCTGCTGTACCTCTGTCTTTGTCCTAAGTAGGGTGTGTGGCCCGGTGTTGGTGTTTGTCTTGAAGGTACATAGGGAAGAGCCTAGAACAAAGGCGACAAAGGCACCAGTCGTGGTTGTGATGCCCCCGCCTTGCCTTTGTTGCCCAGAATCACCTTGGCTGTTCTAGTTCCCTTCTGGTTCCAAGTGAGGTTCAGGACAGTGTTCTCTAATTCTGTGAGGTATGCTGCTGGAATTTTGATTGGAATTGCATGAAATCTGTATAACAGTTTTGGCAGGGCTGGGGATTTAGCTCAGCGGCACAGCGCCTGCCTGGCAAGTGCGAGGTCGTGAGTTCAGTTCCCAGTACCGGAAAAAAACCAGAAAAACAGTTTTGGAAGTATGGCCATTTTCTCTCTCTCTTTCTCTCTCTCTCTCTCTCTCTCTCTCTCTCTCTCTCTCTCTCTC